AAGGGGTGAGGAGCTGGACGGCGAAACGTAAGCTGCTCTCTACTCCCACCTCAGCCAGCCTGTCCATCGCCTCCTCTCCCACCTTGACGCCTTCAGTCTTTGCTCGCAATCGCAGGACCTCCTTGATCTCCGCTTGGGAATAGCGCACGGTTTTGACGATGAGACAACGATCGAGCAGGTCGAGGGGAATGCCGTGCGGTGAGACGATGCCTTCCGAGCCGGGGTAATCGGAATCCGTCCCCCTGATTGTTGACAGACCTCGATTGGTGGCTAGTATGAGGTATGGCGAGAGAGGAGATTCGAGTGCGCGATTGAGATAAGTGAAGGACTCAATATCGAGCATGTGCACCTTTATGAATGAATTAACGGCCCGAAATGTAAGAAAAGGGGAGACTGTACCTCATCGATGAACAAAACGCCAGGCACGAGCTCAGCCACTCCCCTTTCGATGTATCGATCCACGACCTTGTTCACCTCCTGCCTCAGCTTCTCGGTGACCTCAGTTCTCCTGCCCTTCACTAACTGGCCCATAAGGGACATGACGTCCTGTCCACCTTGCGGGCGCGCATTCGCCATATCGAGATCATGTAGAGTGACGTCTTGGAGGATCTCACGCTTCTTGTGCACGTCGCCTTTCGGGAGGGGAACATATTCTTCCGACTCCAAATCAAACTCTGAAGAATACGCATCCGAACGTCCGACCCTCTGCATCATATCACGTTATTCACGGGTATTAGAAGAGAGGAAAGGTTAAGTGGCGCACCTTGACTGCACCGGTATTAGACTCGATGTAAATCACGTCTCCGACCGCGACTCTTTCTTTCTGGATACTCTCATAGATGCTCGGATCGAGTCGAAGCTGCTTCGTACCCCTGGCCGTCTTCAAACCGACGATGACATGTCCTATCGTCTTCCCGTATCCGGACAACGGATTCTCAGTCTCTTGAGGAGACAGCTCCGTGACCTCTCCCTCGTAGACCTCCTTCGTTTCCCGGACTCGAAGCCCTGACAATCACTGTTCATGGGATATCTCTGCGCTAAAGGAGGTGAGACATACCGATTGACCGCCGAAAGTTCTCCATCAGCACTTCTGTCTTCTTCACCTCGTTCGAATACACTTCCGATCCGGTCATATGGCAAAATGGAACCTGCTCCCCGCGACACAGAGAACATAGTCAGCGCCGATTACTTTAAAGAGGACAGAGATCCAGGAAATGCTTCTACGCTCTCATATTCAGCTATCGAGAGCAACCGCATG